ATTAAGATTCTCAAAACCACACACTAAATATTAAATGTCAGCTTTATCAAGGTAGATTTTCAAAAAAAACTTGCAATAAAAAGTAAATTTTTCATAGATGCAAGGTACTGTGGGCCAATTCTCCTGGAAGCCTGAGGGCCAAGAAAAATTTGTCTGAGGGCCGCATTTGGCCCATGGGCCATAGTTTGGACATGCCTGTCTTAAAGCATCCAATTCAATAACTAATCCAGTAACATCCAATGAAATGACTCTTTCTATAGCTGCAGTTACATGGGACCCTGTATTACCACATGACATCACAAGGTGGAACAGAGTGTTTTCAGTTTCAAGACCTGTTCTGATGTTTTTGATGAGGAAACATAAAATAGATCCGAAAATAACATAATGTGGGTCTTTTAAAAGCTGATATAGTGATTATAAAACACAATGTAGAAAAAGACAGAAATTATGTATAATATTTGTTTTGATTTTTCAATTTTTGTTGTGTTTTGTTTTTTTTTTAAAGCAAGCTCTAAAATGTCTGCAGAAAAACACAGATTTTCAGTGAATCACCAACGTCCTGCTAGATAATAGATTCAGTATAATGGCGAAACGAACCACCCACAAACAGCAGATCGATATCTTTTGTTAAATAGACAATATGCACTTGAGAGATTAAAGTGGGCGGAAACAACAAAATGCTTAATGGTTAGCTGTATCCAGGCTAATTTATTCTAGGGACAATAACTGTCTATTTCACCACTGAACCAGAGATCTTATAGAGTCCAATCTAGACATAACTTCATTTTCTTTCATTTGACTGGCTAGATTTATTCAAAACTAGCGCTGAATATTCAAAGCTTATATTAATATATCTGAAAAAGCACAATATTTTGTAATTTCCAGCCATTTCTTTTACTAATAGCACACTGAATAGACTCTTTTAATTACATCTCTGCACTCAGAATGTTATTGCGTAGGTAGAGGAAATTGTAGCTTTAGTCTTTCCCCCCTTTGCAAACATAATTGGCCACGTATTAAGTTCAGTGTCGATTAAAATGTAGAAATAATGAAGAAAAAGTTGCGTTTAATGCGGCAGAGGCCCTATGAATCAATTTGTGAATGATTCGGGGGGGGGGGGGGGGGGGGAGTGTGTGGGTACTGGAGGCGTGCAGTGGAGTTGGTATGCAAATGAGAGATTCGCTTTTTACTATCTTTCACCAAACACTTCCTGTGCTCTCATCTCTCCCCATCCTCCCCCCCATCATCTATCCATCCTCTCCCCATCCTCTCCCCTCTCCAGTCCCTCCATGTGTCCTCGGGTGCCCCTCTATGTTTCTTTGTATCCGGTGTGTTATGCTGTTATATTTCCAAGAATGTTTCTTGTTGTCCCCTCACAAATAGGATTAAAGCTGCACTATGTAACCTTAATGGGCCCATATTACACTGTTTTCCAGTCTGTTTTAATGTTGTTAAAAGAAACAGACCTGGAGTTATGTTTTGTTTGATTCACACATCTTAACACACGAACCCAGCATATTTAGGCTGAGTTTTTCTCCCAACTAGAAAACAGTCCACCTTGTGATGTCATGTGGTGTTACAGGAAGTGCTCCACTGTGTTTTTAAACTCCATACAGCTTCATTAAAATGGTTTAGGATAATTTTAGCCTTGGAATTTCCAATCTCTACTGAAGAAAAGGTAAAAGGAGCTGTTTGTAGACAGACTAATAATAAATATTTATTCAAACATGTGTGAATTACAAACACAAAACACAACTTTTGGTGTGTTTTAGAGGAGGTAACAACAGTCTAACATGGCTTAAAGCAGGAGACCCTAACCCCTGGGCCGTGGACCGGTGTCAGGCCGTGGGTCATTTGGGGTTGGGCCTGCGAAAGCATGAACCCCTGACATGACAGTGCCTCCTCTCATGTTTCCCGCGCCTCTAAACCAGAAATAAAAGCAGGACTAAGCCAGAACTAAACCAGAACTAAAACCAGAACTAAACGAAATCTGAACCATATCTAAAACAGAACTGAAACCAGGACTAAACCAGAACTAAAGCAGAACTAAAACAGAGCTGAAACCAGGACTAAACCAGAATTAAAACCAGAATTAAAACCAGAACTAAACCAGAACTAAACCAGAACTAAAACCAGAACTAAATCAGAACTAAAACCAGAACTGAAACCAGGACTAAACCAAAACTGAAACCAGGGCTAAACCAGAACTAAAACCAGGACTAAACCAGAACTAAAACCAAGACTAAGCCAGAACTAAACTAAACAAGAACTAAAACCAGAACTAAACCAGAACTAAACCAGAACTGAAACCAGAACTAAAACCTGAACTAAACCCAGAACTAAAACCAAAACTAAAACCAGGACTAAACCAGGACTAAACCAGAACTAAACCAGAACTAAAACCAGGACTAAACCAGAACTAAACCAGAACTAAAACCAGGACTAAACCAGAACTAAGCCAGAACTAAACCAGAACTAAACCAGAACTAAAACCAAACCTAAAACCAGAACTAAACCAGAACTTAACCAGAACTAAAACCAGGACTAAGCCAAAACTAAAACCAGAACTGAATTAGAACTAAAACTAGAACTAAATCAGAACTAAAACCAGAACTAAACCAGGTCTAAACCAGGTCTAAACCAGGACTAAATTAGGAGTAAACCATGCCGCTCCTATACGCCGCCGGTCCTTGAAAAAGCCACCCAGTCCACGAAATATTGTTGGACATAAAGCCCGTCCTTGGCTCAAAAAAAGGTTGGGGAGCACTGACTTAAAAGCTCATAAGAGTCGATGTTGCGTAATATAATACCTTTAAAATAATGTGGAATATGTCATCCAAATCGATATCATCTCCATGGAGACAAGAAAGTGACGTACCCTCCATCTGAAAAGTTGCATAACACATCCTTAATAAATCTTGTTGTGTTTCCCTGTTGATATTATTCTTAGTAATAAACTACATTACCCAAAATGCATCACCTCATCACAGTCGACGCTGTTTACAAACACTACAATCTCCCCCACGCGCGCTGATATGAGCTCTACAGATGGCTGTTATGACCGCGTGTGATTGATAGACTCCTTGTATCACTTTAATGAGCTTGCCTGGTGTTGCGTTCACTGACGTCTGTTTTTTTTTTTCACGGTAAAAACACATGCGCTGCCGATAGTGCTTTGAAAGTGAGCACCTGCATGTGTGATAAGGCTTTTCATTAGTGTTCCCTTCGCATGGCCCGGAGGCTACAGCACTGTCCCATATCATCTGTCATGCTCGCTCAACCCCCTCCTCTCTTTCGCTCTTTTTCCTCTGTTTTCTCTCCCTCGCTCCACTCGTCTTCTGTCGTCTGCTCTTGATGTGTATTCATATCTAAACATCGGGGACGTGTCATTGTTCAGTCTTGTGGAGATGGGCTTGGTGCAGTGGGGCTGTGTACTAAAAGTTAAGAGTGAGCAGCAGATCAAGAGTCATTTTGGTGCAATATGATAGTGACATATACTCTAGGAGAGACGGCAGCGTGATAAGAAAGGTTTGAAAAGTGGTCAAAACGCCTGGATTTCACAAATCTGTTGACCTTATAATACGAATAACTAACAGTAAATCAATAAATGTAGTAAGGTTTAGTCAAAGCTAGAGCTGAGTATTATTAAGAAGTTGCTGATAGGATACATACCTCGGCACAGTGCACTTTCGGTTCGATACAATATGTTTCAAATTGATTCAATATGGTTCAGTAAAAAATAATGGCTGAAAAATGATGGCTGTGATACTAAAAGTCTTTGTTAAATGACTTCTTGTGCAAAGTTAATACGAAACATGCCCATTTTAGTCATCAAAACTGTGAAAATGTCAAATGTGTTTCCTTCCTCTAAACAAGCAACAAAATTGTAGCGCTGTAACAAAATTATTTTGTAAAATATACCAAAAAATACTCTTGGCGATATATATCCATACAGCAGATAACAATATCGACAGTATATCATCACATTAAACTATACGATATTTAGATATTTTTGCACAGCCCTAGTCAAAGCTCATTTAAATCAACAGACCAGGTGATTTTGTTCAGTCCCTGAGCATCAGGTGTGAAAGTCAGGCAGCTGGTTTTGACCTCGTCTTCCTGAGATGTTCATTGAGCATTCATTTGCATTTTTCAGCTGTGAAAAACATTTTCCCGAGTTCTTGAGGGCCACACATAAACAGTTTAAAGAGATCAGCAATGCACTTATATAGTTTTATTATGTCATAACAGTACTTGTGATCTAATTGTTACTGGTAGTTATTTTGTGATCAGCTTTATATCAGAATATCAGACATTTTGTCTTAACACATTTCCAGTTGCAGCTGCAAAACAGCTGCAGCAGAACCAGTTAGAAAGATCTCCAGTCAAAATAACCCATTTTCTAATGAACAATCAATTCTGTCTTATTTTTTTACTTTTTACAAGGAGCAGGTATGACTTGTTACAAAAAGTTCAATACAATTTAACAACCGTATTTTTAATTGCAATGTGGCAGTGCAATGATGGTGCAGTGGGTTAAGTGTTTGCCCACCAGCTGGAGGGTTGCCAGTTCAAACATTTGTCAGCAATATCAAATAATCGGTCCACTGCTGCAGCTAAAATTGCATGTGGACAGGGCCTATATCACTTCTGTACTTTTAACCTTTAGTTCAGTAGAGATGAGCAGTTCCAGGGCCATCCAAATGATTCTAGTAAAGGAGTGTGGAGGTTAAAATGAAAATGAAACAAACCACAACTCGAGATATGTTTGTGATGAGTCAAGAACATTATAACACAGATCAGAAAAGTGTAATGTGGCCCCTTTAAAATTGTAGATAACAGAGCGTGTGTTAAACAAGTAAAAACAGTGAACATACCCTGAGAATGCCGTGTATCAGTGTTGCCTTTAGCTGCAGAGGAGTGAGAAGAATGGGCCCTGGTGCAGTCTAAACAGGACAAATGGTGTGTAATTCTTCTAAAGATGTGTTTGTTCTGGGCAGGTACGTTCCGAGGCGTATGTAAGAAGATTGATCACTTTCCCGAGGACGCTGATTACGAAGCAGATGCCGCCGAATACCTCCTCCGTAAGTTTAACGCATGCACTCACTCCATCTCCTGTGCGCAAACTGTCAGGGACTTTACTGGTGGTGTGAGACAAGAGTGGGTTTAGTTTGAGTCAGTGGGTAAAGGTGCATTGTGTAACTTTTTGGTTGGAGGTGTGACATTATATGACATTAAACAGCTCTACCTTATGTTTGTTAAATTACAGGTGGTTTTATAGCTCAAAAATACCTCAAAAACAGATATTCTGACTGTGAGTGGGGTTGCCTCTCCACAGATCTGACCTGTAACTTGGTCCGAGATGCTCTCCATGATGACAGAAAGGTTTAACACATTGAAACATTCCAGACAAAGCAATAAACTCCACCAGAAAAGTGAAACAACACACCTTTAATGTAGAAAAGATTGAATTGTTTATGAAATGTGATGATACCAGACAGTTAGTATTTTAGTATTAATAAAGTATATATTCTGCGGAGAAAAACAGGACACATTTTGACATCAATGAAATATTTTTTTCTCTTTTTTTTGTATATGAAATTCTCCTTATCCTTTTCTATTATACAATTTATGCAATTCTAGTTAGATTGGTTAGCTGTATATTGTTATTGTTATTTATCTTGATTTTTGTTTGTATATTTCTATTCTCCTGCTGTTGCTGAACTTTGGGCTACAACTTTGGAATTTCCCCAGTGTCTGACAATGGCTTTCTTATCTTCTGCAGTAAAATGTTTTTGAAAAAGCACAAATAATTACAGTGACAAGTGATAGATCAGGTATAAACCTTAAACATGCGCTAAGGCTACAAACTAATAGAAGTAACTTGTAGGGATGTAACAATAACCTAAATATCGTGATATCGTATCGTCAAAGTTCTCACAGTAATATCATGGACCATCACAATATATCAAATTACAAGTGTCTTTGCTTAAATTAAGAGTTATGGTGCAACAAGATAAAGAGAACTACATAGACCATGATCCTTTGACTTTGACTACAAGAAGAAATAACAGTTTTAAGCACTTTAAAGTCTTAGTTCTTTGGATTAAGTCTTGCCAAGGCATTTTAAGAGGAAAAAGTAGCATATTAACAGTTTTAATAAATATTGTATCATGAGATATATATTGTGAAAATATTGTACAGAGAGATTTGGATATTGGTACATCCCCAATCGTGAGCCTCCACACCATATCGTGAGCTTTTCCCACAATATCGCAATAAATATCATACCATGAGGTTCATACCATGACAATATCATATTATGAGACTTGCATATCGTTACACTTGTAGTAACTTAGGATGTAACGATATTAACATTTCTTGGTACAATATTATCATGATATGCATCTCATGGTACGATATTTTTTGCGATATTTTGGAGAAGCTAATATAATTGTAGATAGGACACTTTTTTTGCTTTTAAAATACCTTGACAAGATTTTGGTGTGAAGTATTACCATCATAATCCCAAGAATTCAAGTAAAAAACATATTTCTTCATGTTTTCTGCACTTAAATGTTTATAAGCTGTTGCTACTATAAAACCATGCATTTATGCAAAGGAACTTGTGTTTCGATAAATTGTGACAGCCCACGATATTATTGTGAGACTTCTGCCGATACAATATCACGACATTTTGGTTATTGTTATATCCCTAGTAGTAACTGTAGAAGCTTTAAAGAAGACTTGCTTACTTCAAACATGCATGAATCACTCCAAATACAACTTTGAGAGTGGAAATGAAAAGGGGAAACAACTCTAAGATGGTTAAAAGCTCTGAAAAGTTGAGGTCAGCTTTGAAATATAATTGTTTAGAGGCAAAAATAAGTTATTTTAATTCAATGTGTAACGTAAACGAAAATGTTAAGTGAGACATAACCTTTTATGTTAGGTGCTAACTCACAAGTGGAATATTTATTTTATTTATGTATGTTTCCCTGTTGTTTTATGAGTATCCAATAATCATAAATACTCATAAAACATCCCGTTGTTTATTATTGAGAGATAGGCTCATTGCTCAAGCCTTTTAATAATGACTTCTCACCCATAAAAAACGCCTTACCATGTATTTTATAAATGATATGTTTACAGTCGCTTGCCATTTACAGTAAACGGTTTCCAAAAGTATACTAGAATCATTTGTAAAGTACACATTTTCACCACGCTCTGTTGGTTAGAATAAAGATAAATGAATACACTACACGATCCTGTGCGTGGCGATTAGCATGGGGCTGTGAGAGTGATAAATGGTTGCTAGGGCTTGAATGAGCATCGGAGGAGATCGTAACAGATGCCACATGCGTACGCCGCGAAAACAAACACTAGCATAATCGCGAAATGACAGAGTGAAACTACAATACTTTTTATTAAATCCGGCGCTATCAAAAGAGAGATCAGTGGGGGGTCAAAGTAAACGCTGCAAGGATGGATGAAGCTAAAGAAACACAGAAAATGGATGCGGCCTCTGCTTGACTAAACACAATACAGCATCCCCAGAGGCAGCCAATCGCGCGACGGGACTCACGGCGGATCGGCCAATAGGGGGGCAGGACCTAGTGACCGTGTTTTGAAGAGCCTAGAGGTGTGGGGCAGGGGGGCTGTGCGGTGCCACTGGACGCGGCTCTTGTCTGTCAGTGTAATGTAAGGTTTAAACAGGAATACTCGAGACAGTCTGTTTGTAAAGCTGCAATATGGCGCTGTATCCTGTGCACATATGTCGTTATGGGAAATGTTTGGATAACGGCGGGTTTTCAGATTCGTCGTCTTCTTATCGTTATTGTGTTTCGCATATGCAGGAGCCCGACTCTCCATCTGGCCACTTATTTTTGTCATTTGAGTTTGTAACATTTAGAGTAGTTTTGTTTCATATCTACAAACAGCAACACATGGGCTTTTGAGTGTGTCATTTTTCCTGCAAAACAAAGAGAGAGTATTATTATTATTATTTTTATTGAATGCGCTTTGATGTCATAAATGGAATATAACTTGCTGAATTTTCAATATTCTTCTCTAATGAAATTTCTTTTATTGCATACACACAACCAGGGGTGGAGACTTGCGAGTCGTGACTTGGATTCAACTCAGACTTGTCACTATATTTAGGACTTGATAAAATTGACTAAGACTTGGAATGCGACTTGGACTTGAAGGTCAGTGACTTTGGACTTAACTCGGACTTGAGGCCTGTGACTTGAAAAGCACTTTTAAATCTGAATTCTTTCTATTCTGACTGTAATGATTCACTCTAAGATCTTGTCAGACATTTAAAAAGGAAAAAAATTCAATTCTACAACTCTTCTACACTCTATAAATACTCATATATAAATACACTATGACTTTTTACAAGTACAATTCAGTTTAAAATTCATATAAATGGCAAAAATCTAAGCTATATTTGGTACTTTGGTTTAAAGACTTGAAATGACTTGAAGCTCAAAGCAGACAACTTAGACTTGACTTGGACGTATGGGCCAGTGACTCAAGACTCAACTTGAACTTGTCTGCATTTGACTTTGGACTTGACTCAGACTTGAGGTCAAAGACTTGAGACTTACTTGAGACTTGCAAAACGATGACTTGGTCCCAACTCTGCACACAACCATCACTGTAAGAACTTTTACAATATTGCTACAACTAGTGACATCTGAGTCATAATTTAAAGGTCCTATATTACGCAAAATTGACTCTTGTAAAGTTTAAGCCATGTTAGAATGTTGTTATCTCCTAAAAAACACACCCAGAGTTGTGTTTTATTTCATTCACACATGTTGGAGCAACCCTGCATTATCATGTAGTTGTAGTTTTCAAGTTAGCAACCACCTTTTACTTTTTGATCGGTAGAGATTTGCAATTCCAGGGCTGAAATTATCCAAAAGATTCTAATGAAGGTGTATGGAGTTTGTTTTATGGTTGAAAGAAGAACTCATAAATACATAAATATGCAGGATTCGTGTGTTAAATATGTGAGAATGAAACAAAACACAATTCTGGGTATGTTTGTGATGAGGAAACATCATAACATAGATCAGAAAATAGTGTAATATGGGCCCTTTAAAGACTGAAAATGACTATAACTAATGTCACTTGTACCAAAATCATACTATTTTCTTTGTAACTGTATTACAGGTGCAGTGAGAGCGTCCAGTATTTTCCCCATCATGAGCGTGGGCCTCCTCTTCCTCGGGGGGCTCTGCGTGGCGGCCAGTGAGTTCTACAGGAGCAGGCACAACGTTATCCTCAGCGCAGGCATCTTCTTTGTATCTGCAGGTAGGTTTTTTAAGAAATAAAATGAGTAAAAGTATGCAAGAGGTGTGCAAGAAAAATATGACTCAAAGTTGTAATGTTTGAATACAAATTTACCACTATTTTAGATCAATCTTTTACACAAAACTTGATACATTTAACATTTTAACGCTTGAATTAAGACATAATCTGCTTTTTCACTGAGCTAAAAGGAGTTAGAGCAGACAAGACAGTGCAAGTGCAATGGTGAAAGAAGTACTATAGTGTGTTACTGAAGTAAAAGTACAAATAGCTGAGCAAAAAAAATTACTTAAGTAAAAATATTTAGTACTGTAAGTGTTTAAAAATGTACTTTAAAGAGTAAACATTTAAAGTATTTTGTGCAGATTTTTAGATCTAATAAAGCTTAAAATGTGGTGATTTTCATACAGAGTTGTGCTGAATTTTGTTCAACAGAAGAAATTGAATCAGTTGTTTTTTTTTCGCTGTTTTATTTGTGTGTGTTTTGTTTGTTCAAACAATGAAAGTGTTAAAAATAAACCCCCCAGCTTTTTCAGAAGGTCTCAAACTATAATAAAAAATACTTTTACCTTTCAGTCCAGTTAAAAATGTAGTGGGGTAGAAAGTACAGATACCTGCTCTCAAATGTAGTGAAGTAAAAATATAGTACAAATAACAAAAATTTATACATAACTACAGTACTTGAATGTGGGATGACTGGGACATACAATACTAAGTAACTATAATAATTTTATGTGGATCTATAATTACATGGCTTGATGTGTACTCCATTACAAGTTTAAGTACAAAATCTGTGTATCATTCCTTAATTTGTTTTTCAAAATAAAACCAAAATTAAGAAAACAAAAGAAACAACAATTTTCTACATTATTTATCACCAAAACCAAAAATAAAAAAAAACAAAAACAGTAGTATTTAGTTTTCGATTTTGTGTGACTGGGACTGAGACCGGGACTGAGACTGTGACCAGACTGGGACTTAGACCAGGACTGAGACCTGGACCAGACCGGGACCAGACTGGGACTGAGACCAGGACAAGACCGACCAGGGACCTGACCGGGACTGAGATCGGAACTGAGACCGGGACTGAGACCAGGACTGAGAGGGGACCAGACCAGGACTGAGAACGGTTTAGTCCTCATTTAGACCTGGAGTAGACCTGGTTTAGACCTGGTTTAGACCTGGTTTAGACCTGGTTTAGACCTGATTTAGTCCTGGTTCAGTCCTGGTTCAGTCCATATGCAGCGCAAAAGTCCGGCATCACAGTTTAAGTCACAGAAACGGGAAAAGGCCATTATCCGTTTTTTTTTCCATTATTCCTTTTGGTTTTGGAAACAAATAATGAGGAAAATAGTTTTTTTGTTTTTGTTTTGTTATTTTTGGTTTTATTTAGAAAAATGAATGAACGAATGATACACGGACTGTACAGGTTTAAAAATCTACCGAAAAAAGTACAATTACTCCAAAAAAATGTACTCGATTACAGTAACTTGAGTATTTGTAATTGGTAACTTTCCACCCCTGAAAACTAGAAACAGGAAGGAAGTAGGATTTCTTTGGGCCGTCTCTCAGTTCTGTACACATTTACCTCCTCATCTCCTTGATTCCTTCCTCCGTGATTACCAAGAGCCAATTAGAAACAAACCTGCCTCTCTCCTCTTCGGCCCTTTGTCCTCACTGAGCCAGAACCGAGGAGACGAGGAAACAGAACTGGGACTCGGCCACAGTTATCACATTTACACATCAACCTTCTATGATGTGAGCACTCTCGACAATTGTCCGTTCCCGGTCCATTCACAAACATCTTGCACTCATCGGCTTTCAATACGGCGGAAACTCTCCCAAATATTTGAACAGGAAGTGGCTCTTTGGTCCTTTAGCTTTCACAGAATAGCCCGCGCGAGGAGAGGAGACGAGAGCGAGCAAATGGACGCAGCCTAATCAATCCTCTGTGAAGTCCCGTGAGGATTTCTAGTGCACTACAGTACTACCACATGGAATCCCCCTACACTCGTGTCCTAGCTTTTGACACGTACAAAGATCCGTAATTGCTGTTCACTGGGATGTGTAGGGCCCCATTGGGTTCTGTAGTAAATTCTTGAAGCCAAATTGGTAATTATTTCGCTCAATAATGCTGGGTGATTGTGGCTAATTGCAGTGGGCTAATTGACTGTATTGTGAACACTGTATTTGGGTGTAATGATATAGAGTAGGAGTATAGCAGCTGTGTGCAGGCAGGGATGTCAGATCACACTCCCACTTCTCTGATCAACTACCGCTAAGTTTGGGTTGTCTTTCTTTTTATTCATTCAAGCACAATTGGTTTTTTGAAAGGATATTAAAGGCCTGTGTATTTGATGGTTTAATTTGTATTGCTCCGGTGCATATATATTGTTTAAAGGGCCCGTATTACACTGTTCTCTGAGCTTTGGTATAATGTTTCCTCATCACAAACATGCCCAGAGTTAGGGCTGCTTGATTACGGAAAAATCATTATCACGATTGTTTTGGTCAATATTGAAATCATCATTATTTAAATGATTATTTAGTTACACGATGCATTTATTCAGCATTTCTCTCTCAAAAAACACTTTGTTATTGATAATTTACCCCAAATTTTCAAATTAAATGTAGGCTACAAATATGTTTCACTTCGTGGAAACCGTGTGGCTTGACGGTAGGCAGGTACTTTTTTAAATTTAACCAATCGCTGCTGTTTGGTCGTGACGTATGTAATGAGCTGTTAACGGGAATAACTGGTATATTAAGCTTTCCCTAAGTCCCGTAGGAAGAAGGGCAATAACATCTTTCCCCTTGATAAAATTCACCAAACATTCTCTTTGTTCTGGCTGTAAATCCTCGATCTCGGGAATCGTTGCCAACACAGAATCTACGGCTCTTCGCTGATTGGCTTGTGCCCTGAACTCGCACTTCTGGGATTCTTGCAAACTGCTCAGTGTATTCCAATTCCTGACCTAGTCACTGGAGAGAAACTAAATTGAGTGGAGGCAGTTGGTGGTGCCAGCCAGGCTAACAAATATGTCTCTTAGAGCAGTTTTGCGATGTATAAAACATAAAATTAATAAAATATTCTTTGAAATAAATAATAGAAAAACATCAATGTATATAATGTATGCATTAACTAAATATCTACCTGTTGTTCAATCTCTGTATTTAAAAAAACAAAATAAATATACTTATTTATTAGGGATCTAACAATAACCCAAATATCATGATATTGTATTGTCAAAAGTCTCACAATAATACCGTGGACTGTCACAATATATCAAAGTTTCTTTATAGTAGCAGCAGCTTATAGACATTGAAAACTACATATCTCATGATTCATTTCAGTGCAGACAACATGAAGAAATATGTTTTTTAATTGAATTCTTGGGATTATGATGGAGATAATTTACACCAAAATCTTACACAAATTGAAATTCTTCCATCACTGTTGGCATCGACCCATCATACCATTAACTATGCCCAAATGCCACTGTAAAAAAGTTTACTCATAATTAACCATAACTGCATCAAAAAGACCCAAATGTGTTTTGTTTTGTATATTTGCTTTTTGTGTGGCTTATTTGAAAGTGCATTTATTGATACAGATGACTCAGTGCTGTTTGTTTTTATTGGCCTCTGAACATAAGTGTTACTAATCACAATAATAAGGTAATTTCACTTTGAGGGAGTCACTTTCACACTGTGTTTACTCTAATCAAAATCTATAGTATGAAGGGCACATTGACGTTCTGCAGTCATTCTTTCAGTCAGCTGCTGCTTCTTTCGCAAAGCTCAGATACTTTTTATTTTGGTGGGATTCATAATGGTCAGTTATAGAAGACAAAGTGTGGACAGTAATGCCATTTGACAGTCATTTCATTTGGCAAAAAGAATATTATTTTACTTTTTGGTATGATGTTATTTTTAGATTGCAGTTTGCTGTTTTGTGGTTCAAGAAGTGAAGTCCGTAGATCATTGAGAACTTAAATAATCAATTCTTAACCATTTTGTAGTAAAATGACGAGAATTGAACGCTTACAGGCCTAAACACAGTAATATTAACTCCATCCATACAAAATTATGTAATGACAAATTCTATCTAGATAGTACATTCAATCCATAGAGACAGAACATAAAAAAAATTAAATGTTACTGTCAGAATCCTACATCTTTGTGCAAGTAGATATAACGTCCATAGAGATGCATTAGAGGAGCTGCATAAAATGTCAGCAAAAGAGTTAAGAAACCCTGTTAACTGATGATTTACGACCAGTAAAAACATTTTTCACTATGATATTATCAAAATGAATCTTAAAGCTCTTAAAATGTGGAAAAAGAACTGGCTGGTTTTAAATGTTTTACAGCAGTCCAGAGATATTCATCACTTTCTTAATGCATTTATTTGCGATGATTTCATAAATTTCACAACTTTCAGAGCCTAGAGCGGAGAATATATAACAACTCACATGCCAACAGCACAATTACTGTTTTGCAAAGGCTATGATTCTGTGTTATAGGTTATAATTGGATGAGAACAGTGGTCTTATTTTGCAACCTTTACAAGATATACAAATTTTACTTAATTACATGAAAAAAACATATACAGGTAGGGTGACCAGATATTTCAAAATCAAAAACTGGGACATCGCCGGTTTGTGATGGTTGGTAATAATAAAATTGTGAAATGAGTGCATAATTAAGGAGAATTGTTATGCAGAGACCATTCATGACTAATATGTGAGTCAGTATAGTCACATTTTCTTTGTGTTTTATTCATTTTTAAGCAGCTTTTCTGTATTTTACCTAAACAAATGACAGTTGTTGTTTTTTTTTTTGAGGTTGATCACATTTCTAATTAAATGTGACTTGTATGTGATCTCCACTGTGAATTTTAAACACTCCAAAAGTGTCCCAGATGAGCATTGGAGGACACGATGATGTCACATGCAGTGATAGTGCTCAGTGTTTATGGAAGTCGTCTAAATGCTGGGCTGGTCTCCAAAAATATGGTCCAGTTCTTCACAAAATGGACAGGTTACACCCCAATTATTAATAAACTCACTAACTTCGCTTTCCCTCCTTTGACTAGAGCCTGACTCTGAGCCTGACATGTAGGTGGGATGAATGCGACCTGGCCATTCAGACTGAAGTCGCATGTCAAAAGATCGGATATGTATCAGTTTTAGGAGCACATATCCAAGTGGCCTGGGTGGCATTTGAAATAATCGGATCTGTGTGTCATTCAAAGATCAGATACAGGTCACATAGGGGTGAAAAAAATCAATTTGGGTCACTTCAGGCTGCAGTCTGAACGTAGCCATATAGATGCTTATGCTTATTGTAATATTTAATGTAATATGTAGTAATATAGTATAATGTTGTATTTTTGCTTCCTTCTCCAGGCCTGAGCAACATTATAGGAATCATAGTGTACATCTCAGCCAACTCGGGTGACCCGGGCCAGAGCGACAGCAAGAAGTCCTACTCGTATGGCTGGTCCTTCTACTTCGGCGCCCTCTCCTTCATCATGGCCGAGATGGTGGGGGTCCTGGCCGTGCACATGTTCATAGAGAAGCACCGCAAGCTCCGCGCCAAATCCCGCACGGAGCTCATCAAGAAGTCCGCCTTCAGCCGCATCCCGTCCTACCGCTACCGCTTCCGCCGCCGCTCCAGCGTGCGCTCCTCCGAGGCACCCAGCCGAGACGCATCGCCGCTGGGTAAGGGCGGGTACACGGGGCCAGCCGCCTCAGAGCTGCCCATGTACACCCTGAACCCGAGGGAGCCGGGCAACGCTGGCACCAAATCAAGTGGGATGGGCTTGCTGAATTCTGAGAGGGAGTTTCTTCAAAGCAGCACGCTCACTAAAGACTACAGCAAAGACCCCAACCGCCGGACGACGCCTGTGTGAGAAATCAGCCAATCAGAGGCGAGGATGGTGTAACGTAACATGGGGAACACAGGGTTTGGAGGGGTGGGGGCTAAGCTAAAAGGGTGGGTTTGCGAGGAAAAAAAAAACTGTGAACTTGTAGCCTTCGAACTGTGAATTCTGAGCCCTGTGCAATCGTGTAGCAGGGTCTATTGTTTTTTTAAAGGAGGAGTTGTACCCAGGCGCTACCACTTTACCACCATAAATGACACTTGTGACAGCAACGCTATACCGTGGCGTGTGCCGGGACAACTTCTCCCGATCGAATAATGTGAACAAACGGGACGAGAGGTGAAAGGCGAGAGCGTTTTGACCTGCGCTTTTTGACCTTTTGACCTTTCTGCTCCTCACTGGGTAGCAGCAGCAGTTGTATAAAGCAGATACGAGAGCGGAGGGAGTCGTCACTTCAGGAAACGGACTGGCTCATTTTAAGTTCAGCCCCCGAAAGTAAAAATCGTCCATTTGTGGCACTTCTGATTTACTACACGTTGTATATATATTCAACATATTTATTTTATTAATCACTTTTAAGAACTAGCTGAACTTGAAGTGAATTACAACCCATTCCTGGTTATCCTCCTTTCTTCTGATTCCAAGTCAATTCTCAAATGTATAGAGCGGTATAGACACACTGACTGGAATTAGCAGTTGAAAGGGGGGGGCGATCGTGTGACTCCAACTTAATTTCTATTGAGGGTATTGTTAGATCATTGGTGCTTCCTATCACTCCTATCTCATTTCTATACATTCACCACAAAGCTACACTATCTATCTTCGATCGATCTTCACGTCATCCTACCCTCCCATGCCATACCTCACCACACCCCCACGTACATCATCGGTCCAACGCCACCCCCTTGAGGGACACCCAGCTACATGTAGGGCCAGTCTTCCGTTATAGTTTTGGGTAGCTAGTCCGGAGGTCGTGGAATGAGGAGAAGACCACTGAGCTGTGATTATACCCCCCCATCCCCCTGCATAGGGACAAGCCAAAACGACATATAGTAATTTGTAACTAACAATCGGAAGAGTTGGGAAGTTAGCAAAGAGATTTTTTAAATATCGGAAGTAGTTCAAGTGAGCTGATGTAACGCTGCTGCAAGGATTCACTGTGTCAACCTAAGCATTTAAGTTAAGCTTCCTGAGTCTGGAAAAGTGCTTGTAATATGGACCAAATTAAAAAGGTGCAAAAGTAGCAATCGAAACAATATTTTACTAAAGAGACATATCAGTTTCGCATTTTGAGACTATAACCAAAAGCTGTGATGTAACTGACTACTACAGTATAGGTCGATGATCTGGGCGAGAGGTTCTCAAAGTTTGGTCTGAGAACCACTGATCTAGACCATCAACATTGCCCTAATTTACAAAAAAACGTAGAACAAAATACTTCAGTGCCATATCGGAATCCTACAGTTTATACATTTAAAGGGTTAATCATTTTCTATTGTGATAAAAGCATAGCATCTGTACTTAAGCAAAATTGGACACTACTTTTCTGAATTACAATCGCTCACTGCTTTAACTAAGTGTAATAATATTAGATTTTCCTTTCCATTCTCTTATGTCATTATGTGATTTATCTACATATGTAAATGTAATCTTTTCTAAGCCATATTTTGCACACAGCCAGTTTAGTCATGATTCATCACTACCTCTCTCTCTCCAGTAAATGTTAGGCAGTTAGGCGGACATAATGGAGAACCTTATCATTGGTGATCATTAAGAGCTATATCTAAGTCACACACATGCACATATGGACTAAGAGGTGACAGCTACATTGTGAAAGATGTTGTAAGCGAAATTGAAGGTTATTTCCTTAAACCACCATTGCACTGTTTTGTACAAAGATGAATCCAGCTGAAACAGGCCAACCACTATTCTTGCCCTGAAAATAAAATAAAAGATGTTTCAAACCTCACTCACTGTTGACTTTATAACGCTGCTACTTTATGGACTGTAAAGACACCTTAAAGGTACAAACGTGCATCGGCGCCCCCTGCTATCCTCCGCGTGTAAATATTAATTTTGCAGGATAACTACAACATCAGCCGTTGTGGTGGGGTGTGAAAAGGAAAAACAGCGTCTTCTTTTTCTGAGCAAGGGCTTTGCATTTTTAAAGGACAAGAGCACACAAGGGCTTTCTCTGCTCAGCGCCAAACACGTCGTGTGGAGGACGACTGGGACAAGTACATTTGGTCCCAACATCCTTACACCAGCTCTACAATACCACAACACTGAATATGACATGCAATGTGTACAATTGTTAACCACAGGCCAACAAATAGTGTGTACTCTTTACTTAGGTTCAAAATATTGCCTTAAAGGGTTCTTTTGAATATAATTCTGAAGGAAGATGTATTATACTTGATTTAAAATAATGGCGCTGGAGTAGCTTAGTCCTAGATGATTTGCTGTTCTTGTGTGTTTGGGCATAGATTAGCAGTGTTAGCCTGACTCAGCAGTAGTACTAGCGATGTAGCGAGTGGTCAGCACATAGCAGGCCCCTTAGATCCTAAGGGTCCACTGCCTAGGGGTCAGAGGTCAGAACTGCCATCCATGAGCCATGTCAGCATTGACCTGTTCGAGCATGCATGCCATATCCATCCGCCCCAGCGCACACACGCGTGTGTTTGTGTGTGTGTACGGGGTTAGACTGCGCCCTAATCTCTGCTCCTGTGGGACACTAGCCTGCTCCTGACGCCTTACAGGCTTGGCTGTGTTATTGATGTTTACTTCAGAGCGGGGGCGCTGTTCCACACTCTCCATCAGCTTTGGTATCACCATAAAGCTTTGTTGTTTCAACAACAAAACAATTGTATTATTAGTAAAATATATTCTATTTTAAAGGTGCCACTGTGCAGAGATGACAGCTCTGTCACATACTATAGTTATTAATCTATTAGTGGAGGGGGCGGGGACAGGGGGTCTTTAGTCTTTGTAATATGATATTATTCTAGACTGGTTTTCTACTTAACTGTGCTTTGTGAGATTGTGTTGTTTTAATCACATCCTCTGAGAGGTGATAAGGACACGGCGGAGCAGTGGACACTCTGGACAGAACCTAACGCAGCTCAGATCAATATGGGAGCCTCCACTAAACTAACTGTCGTGTCTCAGCAGTATCCGACATATTCACTACAGCCTCAAATGCAACACATTTTGTGCCAAATTCCTTACCTACCTGACAAGGTTGCTTATTTGTTTGCATTGAACAAAAATGCCATAAAAATACAAAAAGCCAAGGTGTAATAATGACCTCACAAAAAACAATATGATCTTTGCTTTTAGCTTTACCGTTTTGAAATAAAGCCAGGCTAATGTGATCCAAAGTTTAAAATGATTTTTGTTATAAATATGAGTTAGTAGCCTCCAGGCTGATAAACAAACATCATGTCACGATTCAGTCCACTGTATGAAATACAGTCCAGCTCTCCAGAGAATCCTGTTTGTGTGTGACATTGTGTTTGTGTTTGTTTGGCCGTCTGTGGTAAAGACATGTCTATGTGACAGAGCAGACTGCACAGTCTGTGAGAGCATGTGTGTGGTGGCCCTGCTCCAGTGCCTGCCTCCTGCCTTCAGCTCCATCACACGGGGCCTCACTGTACCCACCACAGAGCTAAGCTGTGCCCGGGCACATGCAGCCATAACTCTATGGACTGTTCCCATTCAGCTAGAACACACAGGCCCGGGATTCTATTCTACTGGCTAGACTGTTGGCCTTTTCCCTTCACTTTAGTTTGTGATGCTATTTCAGGATCAGCAGAGGGGGCTCCAGGATGCAGCCATGTTGAGTCCCCTATGACAGCTGATGCTCCATAGAGAGTCCCTGAGGGCAGAGCCAAAGCCTGCTCTTACATAGAGATGGCTCAAGTAGGACAAATAGACAATGAAAACTGAAATGTAACCGAACTTACTCATATACTACTTTGTACTATTGCACAAATGATTAGCAGGAAGCTAGCTGTTTGAGCTTGAACTTTAGTCTTAGTGGAACCTACTTAGCACCAAATGATTTATTTACGCTAATCTAAATATGAAAATCTGCATAGCTACACCTCTGCATAACCTTACCCTATCTGTTGAGGTATTCTGTAATTACTTTACATTTAATTGGTGGAACTAATTCATTTGACACAGCCAGTAATTTGTACTAATAGGCACTAGTGTGGAAACTTACAGAGAATGAAGAGAACGTAGTTAAAGTTATACAAACTACACCTGCTTTATACCAGCTATGATTTCTATAGTCATACTTCCTCAGACATGATCTTTGCCTAAAATCTGCCATTATGTTTACTACCAGCAGACCATAAGTTTGAAAAAGAGCGAATCATGGAGAAGCTCACAGTGTTGTTTACATGCAGTACATATCCAGGCTGCGTTCACTGACCTGACAGACAAGCTTTCGAATGGGGGTTGCGCAGGTACATTCAGGTTCTGATTGGTCCAAACTAAGCCATGCCACAAACCGATTCAGATCTCTCTCCAACGAGCCATGATGTAACACTGGGTAAAGTCGGGCTTTCACAGACAAACTGAGGAGAAAGCCCGAGTTCATCCACGCCAAACTGGGGACTGTTAAACTCAACAAACTCAGGATAACTGGTGGAAAACATTTGACCTTTGAACTTCACGGATTCTGTTTTTTTCTACAACACACAAAGTAAAGTCTACTGTAAAACTTTACGTTGAATTGATATAAAAATTTTGAACAATCAGTATTAAAGGGCCCATGTTACGCTGTTTTCTGATTTGTTATAATGTTGAATTCTCATCACAAACATACCTGGAGTTTTGTTTTGTTTCATTCACAGAAGTTTAACACATAAACCCTGCATATTTAAGAGTTCTTCTCAAATAGAAAACATTGTTCCACCTTGTGATGTCATGTGGTAAAAGAGGATGTGCTTCACTGTGTTTTTAAACTCCAAACACCTTCACTAGAATCATTTGGATGATTTCAGCTTTGAATTGCTTGA